ATGTATAAGATCTTAGAAGTATCTGAATTTTATTTCCATGACATAAGAACCACGACTGTTGACTGTTGTAGAATTTCTTACTTGTTTTCTTTAAATTTCCGTACTTTAATTGAGTTAATTAGTCTTCAAATTTGAAAACCCTAGCAACGCCCACCAATCATTTTCCAAATATAGTGAAGCTAATTAAGAAGAATAAAGAGGGTTCTTAGCATCTAATTGGTGAATATTTGAAAAACATTATATGTTGTATATTATTATTATTATTATTGTTTTGTCGTTGTATATTATCTATATATTCACACAACGTGACGTTTTGTGCAAAACTGGCGAATTTATATGTTATTAGATTATCAACGTGAAATCGTCCCTTAATGCTGAGAAGATCACGTATTATATATATTCAAATAATATATTACTTTCATTTCAAAATATCACTAAATACTAAAAAAAACAAAAGTTGGACTATATGGCAGATTTATGATTATTTATTTAAAGAAAAAAATGGCAAGATTATGATTAATTAATGGCTCGTTTGGATATACTTTTAAAATGATTAAAAGCGTTTTTAGATAAAATATTTTTTGGTTTAAAAACACTTAAGGTGCTTTCTGCAAGAAGCACTTTAAACGTTTTTTCAGAATTTACTTGCATTTTTACTAAGGATTGATTCCAAAAACATTTTCACCAAAACCACTTTCAGTCATTTTAAAAGTAAATGCAAACAAGTAATAATATTCCTGGAGATAAAATGTTCTTACAAGTCAGCTGAAAAAGCTCATGCTGCTTTTGGCATTTTTTTCTCAATTACATCCAAACAAGCAATAATATTCCAGGACATAAAATGTTCTTACAAGTCAGCTGAAAAAGCTCATTCTGCTTTTGGCATTTTTCTCTCAATTGATTCTTATATATATAGTTGAACGACAGTTTTTGTTATGGTAAATGTTAAATTAGTCACCGACAAGATTTAAACTCATTCCGTTATGCAAGGTTTAACATTTTTCTACCACTATGATAAGGAGTCACTTGCCAATTGATGCTTATATTCGGTATCGTATGAAATTACTTTATATTAATTTGTTTTTTATCTTAATCAATTCTCATCTCTGTACAAGGTGCCAAAGAATATAAAAATTAGAGGATGGTAGAAAAATATAGGTCAAAATTAATAGTTTAGGGCATGCGGTCCACTGCAAGAGCTGTATCAGCATCAACTTCATTTGAATATTGGATTTGCAACGAATATAAGACATTGAGATGTTAGATTAAAGAAAATGTACCTCAGTATGTCCGACGATTTGGGACAACATAATACGCACATTAGTTCTATATAATTACATTACATACATACATACATACATACATACATACATACATATATATATATATATTTATATCCTGTCAACCTCTGTTTCTCATCGATTGATCACTGTTAATTTTATTCATTATGAAGTGCCCAGTATTTAAGCAAACCGTGTCCAAGAGTTATTTCCTTTTTTCTTCATCCATGTGTTGTGGAGAGGAAATCAAATTTATCACTACCTTTTTTTTGTTAAGTGCGCACAGGGGCGAAGCTACAAGAATGTCGAATAAGCTAGGGTCCATCCTGAAATTTCATCAATTTATATATAATGTTTGCTAGTTCATACAATAAAGAGTGTATAGCCTATCAGTGGAGTAGAGTTTAAAGTTTTCAGCAACTCATGAGTTTGAGATTTGTTTATGCAAACAATTTTATGATTTTATTACCATATCTAACCCTTATAACTAGCCTTTCGTTTTACCATATAAGCCTTCTGCCAACAACATTTTGATTTTTCATAACCAATTCTTTTTTTTTTTGGTCAGTCCATATAAAACAAAGTCTATACAAATATACAATCTATAGGATGATCCAATTATGTTGAAGGAAAAATCTCATAATATAGTTTTGAGCTAACCATGACTTTAATTTTTTTCAGGTCTAATGTGTTAGTCTTTTTTTTATTCAACCTCGTAAACAAGCTCTGTTCTTATGATATAATCATCTTAATACTAAATTTTGCATACAAATTCTAAAGCTCCATCTGTCTTGTTTGATTAAAATTTTACATGATAATACAAAACAAAAAAAAAAAAGAATCCCTTTGATTGTTCTCCAATTAATTGTACTTGTAACTATTTTTTTTTCTTTCTAATTTCTTTCATTTGGCTTGAAGGCCCGTTCTGTGAAGGATTTATGGCTCTGCCACTGAGTGCGCATGTGTTTTTTTTTTTTTTTTAACAAACATGTTAGTCTTACCACATTTATACCATTTTTTTACCCTACCTCTATTAAAAAACAAATGTGATATAAAAAATCTGATAAGTATAGCATTGTTTTATTTTTATTTTTCCTGAAGTATTTGTTTTGCTGAACATATAGCATACGTGCATCCGTGTAATCGGAGATTAATCCCTTAATCTACATCCATTAACTTCATATATTATCAAAGAAGTGCAACACCAAGGAAAACAATGAAGAGCCAAATTCACCAAGTATAATACTTGCACACACATACCCCAACATGGGATACACATATCTCATCCTTTGCGAATAAGGTATCCTCACAGCATGAATTCTATAATTGAAAATGTTCAATTTCTTACATCTATACAAAAAATCTTTTTGAATCAAAAATCGTTTAGTCTTTCAAATATATCAAATAAATGAATAGTTTATCATAAATATGTTACTTGGATGACTAAATGATTTTCAATTCGAGTGAAAGATGACATTACTCTACCTGATATGTTAAATTTGAACTATTAGTTATTACATTATTTACTTTTCATAATTGTAATAAGTATTTTTAAAACAAATAATAATAATAGAATGATGAAAAGCATTTATTAATCACATAAAATTGATTTGAAGCTGTTGTCAAATTTGACCGTAACTTTTTTGCTGCCATTTCATGTCATTTTACATAGGAATTGTTATTTCAGTTGAAAAACACCAATACTGTCTTTTTTTACTGTTTTGCTAATAGAACTTTTTGACTCCTCATTTAGACCACTCAAACAATGCTAACTATAATTTTATTAGTTTAGTATGAAAATCATCCAAAAGTTATTATAACTAGCCAGTTTAGTATGAGCATCTCCAAAAGATGCTAGCTATCCATTGTCCAATTTTTAAATTTTTTTTCTTCAATTTAAAAAAAAAAAAAAAAAAAAAAAAAAAAAGTCTTATTTTTCCTCCAAATTATTTGTTGGGTATTTTATTTGTCCAATGACTTGGAAACAGAATGTCCTGCATCGGAGAGGAAGAATCCGGATCTTTGTGAAAATCTCAGAATTTATGAATAGTGTTCATTCATCGTATATTATGCAGTTAAAAATTATTTTAAATATTCTTATTTAAAATTAAATGCAAACAGTATCTGATAAAAACTGATCGTACAATATATGATAAACGAACACAATTCATGAATTCCAATAATCTTTATCAAAAGAATCCCGAGAGCATCCTGTTGGTGAGAGGAAATACTAGTGGGCTCATGAACACGTGGGTACGGAATGGTACAAACCACGTGGCTAAGCTTAATGAGACGTGTACGGTGAGACCACACACAGTACTTTATATATTAATGTTTTTCATCATTGGGAGTAGGACCACCAAATAGATCACTTCCATCTCTGTTCAAAAAGATATACTAGTTATAATTTATCTCCTTGAGAAGTTTAGTAAGCTAGATTTGTGATCAGAAGATGTTGAAATGTCTCTAGAGTCTTTCCGGCTCCTAGAAGGGATGGATAACCGTGACTTATTATCAGTTGTCTTTCTTAAAAAAAAAAAAAAAAAAAAAAAAAAAAAAAAAAACAAGTGTAGTAAGCCACATTGGTCAATACCCTCTTTGTACCAAGTACGTTTCACAGCTTAAATCTCAATTCAACATCTCTAGAGTCTTTCCGGCTCCTAGAAGGGATGGATAACCGTGACTTATTATCAGTTGTCTTTCTTAAAAAAAAAAAAAAAAAAAAAACAAGTGTAGTAAGCCACATTGGTCAATACCCTCTTTGTACCAAGTACGTTTCACAGCTTAAATCTCAATCCAAAATTTAATTTAGAGTGATTGTTAGATGCAGTTGGGTTTGATTTTTTAGCGATTAGGCTTTAAGCTTATGATATTATTTACAACATTGGTTCTATTTAAGCTTATGATATTTTAATATGAGTTTTAAGTAATTTTCGAATAATTAGTAGGGTTTCATAACTTTCATTGGTTGTGTTTGTGAATAAGGGGGCGTTCTATTAAGGGTTTACTTCTTTTCAATTGATCTGCGTTGCTCGTAATATATGATTTGCAGGTTACAAGAAATGATCGTCTATAGACTAAATTCTCTCTTTGCTCATTCGTCCGACCCATTTGCAAGAGATGTTCACCCCTTATATAGGCCCTCAGCAAGCTTAGAAAGTCTGAGGCTCACCTACTTTACTATTCTGGCATTAAATGAGCAACTTATATAGACTGGTGTGCTGGCTATTATCTCGTTCATCAAGACATGTGGTAATGAAGTGACAGTTGTTCAGTCGATATTATATGTTTTTCTGGGCCAATGCGATCGAGCACTAAGCGCAACCTTGACTAGTCAAATGTAGTCCCCCCGAGTAAGGATCCAATTGCCCATTACGTCTTGTCCTAGGCTTCTGCCTTCAAACGGTGACCGACATGTGGCCTGAGTTGGTATTTGAGTAGACTTGTTCCGGGAGCCCTGTGCCATAAAGTTGTCAATTTACCCATATATCATTGTCAGTCAGAAAGTATTTTATGTTGCTTAGTCAAACCAAACTGGCGGGCGGTTGGCTATAGCGGTCAAAAATGCTCCTTTCTAATTCCATTGGGCACTAGACTTCTTTTTCTTCTTTGGGCTTTGATCTCTCTTCGGCTATTCTCGATCTTTTTTCGGCCTGTACTATTTTGATGGTCGAAAAAGACTTTGCGTTAATGTGAGCATAATGGTACATGTGAACATACACATGAAGCTGGTCCTAGCTCCAGACAGTACTATACATACTGTGTAAGCATACATGATGAGCGGATAAGTCATATATAAACATGCATGGATAAACCCACGTTCGTTGCCGTGCGGCGGCGCCTGGCTGTGGACATGGGCTTTCGAACGCTCAAAATCACAAGCGTCACAAATCATAAGAGCATATAAAGTTTTGCAATTCTCAAAAATAATGCACGGTAGTAAACATTTCTCAATAGAGGTTCTCAAGCTCATAAATCACATCGTGGTCGTCATAATAATTAATTGCATATTCTAAGTAAAAGCAAAGAATGATATAAAAGCATCATATAAAACCAGTACCAAAAAAATATATATACACACACATATGTAATAAGGAAAATTAATTAAAAAAAACTTGAAAACTTTGAATTTTAATTTTGATGTAAAAATGTGATTTTTCGTTAAAATGAACAATACCAGAAGCTTTTTGTTAACGTTTCCTATGTAATATTGTTTAAATGCAAAAGCTCACTCATAGATACACTGTATGGTTGTAACCACCTTGCCCTGCATGCTTTTTGTAATCCTGAGGATAACACTCAAAGTAAAAGAACCTTTATCTAGTTAGTAAACCAATTGAATACTGCGAAGACGACCATTTCAAGCGTTCGAAAACCCAGGTTCGCTGCCATGCGCCGTCGCACGCACCGGCAGGAGGTTGGCATGCGCCGTCACGCGCTGGTATAGGTAATGGTCGCCGGCGGTAAAATATTATGTCGCCGTTGGTTGGAATCTGAAAGATTCCAGTCACCAGGTATTTGATGAGATTCTGATAGGGAATATGCCTAAGAATATTTTGACTCGGATTTGAAAAAAGGTTGGCTTACCATATCGGTACCGGGTTTACCCATATCTAGATTTGTCGAAATCTGGCCTACTCTTCACGTCTGATCCAAGGGCATATTAGAACTATTGGGATTTAGATGAACACGATAATGGTGGTCTCGAGGGTTGATTCCTTGCCGTTCTCTCGAAATCCCCTATCAGCCCTCTGTTTTCTCGCCGAAAAATAGGGAAAACTCCTCCCTCTTCTATCTGCATCATTTGTTCATCAATCCTCACATGAAACAAAAACTACTTAACATAAGGAAAAGATTGGTGGTGGTTTTAGGCCTTACCTTCACCGATAAAGGGCAGGAACTTGCCGGGAAGTTCGGACCTCATTAGTCATTAGAGCTTCTCAAATCGATATCTTGGCTTCAAATCTCGAAGGAAAGTGACAACGGTTAGCTCCACGGGAAAGATTAGGTCACGATAGTGATGGTTTAATGGGATTGGTTTGCCGAAGAACGTCGGCTTCGCCATAGTTGTTATGTGTGCAGGTCGGGGAAAAAAAGAAGAAGAAGAAGAGAGAAAGAGACAGAAAGAGGATGAGCCGAGTGAGTGAAAGAGGGAGCGGAATTGTCTGCCCTCTCATTTCCATAATTTCTTGTTTGTGTAGTCACGGTTAAGCACTTCAATATTTTATATTCTTATTACTTTTTATTTTATTATTTCTATAAAAATTTAATATAAAATATTGACGTAACTTAACCGTGATTACATATCATAGGAGGGCATAAGAAGAATATAAAAATAGGAGGGTAGACAATGAGAGTGAGGAGGGGAGAAGTGAGAAAGTGGGTCCCAGTGACTGAAAACCCAATCAGAATAAAATAATAGAAGTGTCCCTCAATTTAATAAAATTACAAAAATACCCTTGAACTCCAAATTCTGTTTTGCTTATGTTCGCACATTTGTATCAACGAGCACTACTATAATATACTAAAAGGATAAGTCACACGTGTCACAACACGGTGGTCAACAAAAGTCAGCATTCTTGCCTCTAGAGACATTGAAAATAGAATAAAATCATGGATGAGTCATAACAAAAAGACTTTAAACTTTAAAAAATATACGTTTGACATGTTATATTGTCAGATTGTCAATTTAGATTATTAAATATGTGAATTTTTGTTTGACTGCATGCTACCAATTTACAGATGTACCATTCCATAACACTAAATTGTGGATTATAATTTTTGGCCAGGCATGCTACATTGCCAAACTCTCAATCTTAATCATGATTAGGTAAATTCTTATTTCGTTGTGTAATACAAAGAAGGAGATGCAACACATTATACTCTTTTTTTTTTTTTAATTCAACAATATTGCCTGTAATAATTATTTTAAGGATTTTATTTTCCAAATGCCTACATACAATTTTTTTGGCCAACATTAGTACAAATGGGTACAATACTTTTATTCCTTTTATTTTTGATTGGGTCACCAAACCCACACACCATATACTGATAATTACCATTGCAGTCCCAATATCTCACACAAGCTGTGGGGTGGTCCAATTATTGGTCTAAGATTTTATTTTATTTTTATTTTTTTTCATTAGAGTTATAGGTCCATCTTTTTTTTAAGAAATATTTTTGAGTGTACTCTTTGTAAGGTCCAAGGTTTCATTTGGATGATTAGTCACCTACCATGTACCATCACTACAAAAGACTGTAACAACATGTCGTGATATGCGACCTAAAAAAGAAATAATTTTCGAACAAACTTTATGTATTTGTGTCACTTGATTATCGATATATGTTTTTTGTTTTAATCAACTTTGAGAATTTAAAATGTACAAAAATCACTTCCCAACTTAAAACATCAGTCAACTCATAGTGGGATGGAATATTATCAAGCACAATTAATTACTTAATTAATTTCTTGAATTTTTCTACTTCTTTGCAGTGGGATGTACTGTCATAATATAATAAATCCCACTAATTTATAAGAGAATGGGAAAGAAAAAATAACTGGGCATATGATAGATAGATCCCATCCCACTCCCAACTCCCCCCAATTATATGAGAATTGGAAAATAACATTGGGCTTTTAAGCATTTTGTAATTATAATAATAATAAAATTACTTGAAAAAAGAAAGTAGTTTTGGGGATTTGGAAACGTCGATTCAGTCGCTTAAAAAAACCATAAACACTCACAGAGGAGGGACAGAGAGAGAGACAGAGAGGGAGAGGGAGGAGTGAGGAAGGACACCAGGGGTATTAAAAATCACAGTCGTTACAGGGAAAAAGAGGGGAAAAAATAAAGAAAAAAAGGAGACTAGTACAAGAGGCACTAGCAATAATGGCTGCTTGCATAACCGTTCTGTCCGTTTAGCCTTTTTACTCTCCTTCTTCTGGGTTGCTTCTTGTTCGTAAATGGGGCACGCTATTATGGTATTTTCACCCATTACTGCCCCAGCCTCAGCACCGAAGGCCCTGCTCTTTTGAGCTTTCTTCTTCTTCTTCTTCTTCTTCTTCTTCTTACAACTCCTCTGCTCTCTGCTCCTCCGCTGCCCTGAACGACGTCGTTTGAGCTCTTGAATGGCACACCTTGAGGGTGAATCCTCAATTTCTCGTGCGGAAACGGGTGGGTTTGCTGTCTGCTTGGCAAGTTTAGCAGAGTTGGGATAAATTGGAAACGGAATGCAAATGCTTAAAAAGTTTCCATTTTTGGATTCTGGGTTCTGAGCAAACACAAAAATGCATTCACTGAAGTCTCTAATTTTCTATAAAGTTTTAATCTTTGGCATTTTTAGTCTGTTTTAATTTCTGGGTTTTCCTTTTTAGAACAATATGTTTGTTTATTTATCATTTATTTATTTATTTTTTCAACGGTGTGCATTTTGTTTGATAGATTTGAGAGGTGATGATCTGTATACAGAGCTATGGAAGTTGTGTGCAGGACCTCTGGTGGATGTGCCAAGGCCTGGAGAGAAGGTGTACTACTTCCCTCAGGGTCACATGGAACAAGTACAATCCTTTCCATCCCTTTTGCTTTAATTGTCTCTCAATGGATCAAAATCTGTGGTTTTTTTTGTTTAATTTGTTTTCTTATCCGGGGTTTTGATATTTTCTGGTTTTTTGTAGTTGGAATCATCAACAAATCAGGAACTGAATCAGCAAATCCCTCTCTTTAATCTTCCCTCAAAGATCCTTTGTAGTGTGGTTCATATTCGATTACTGGTAATGCGTTTTGGAATGTAGTTTTCGTGTAAATCCACGGTTTTGGGCTTTTTTTTTTAATGGTTTTTTTTTTATTGAAATTGAAGTTTTTTTTTTATGTTTTTGGTTTTTGGGATGGTTAATTGAAGTTTGTTTATACTTACAGGCAGAACAAGAAACAGATGAGGTTTATGCTCAGATCACTTTGCATCCAGAAGCAGATGTGAGAAACATGTTTTCTTTTTTGTCTTATTTTATGTTTTGTTCCAACTTCCTCTGTTTGGTTGCTTAGAAGATGGGGAAAAGAATACATAGTCACTAATGTTAAAGTCTTTTAAAATCAGTTGGGATATTATCTCAAATACGAATAGGGGAGATTTCACATTTTCTTAACCTTTTGCACAATTTTCGTAGTAACTGAAAGTGTTTCGTAATGAAACTTTGAAGGTCCAACTCCGAGAGAAGCCTGTAAAGTTATTTTTCCCGATTCTCTTACTCATCTTCTTTTGGTTGGTTTTACAGCAGTGTGAACCTACAAGTCCTGATCCATGCAAACCCGAAGCTCCAAAGGCAACCGTTCACTGGTTTTGCAAGATTTTGACCGCTTCCGATACAAGCACCCATGGAGGGTTCTCAGTCCTTCGAAAGCATGCCACCGAGTGCTTACCTCCATTGGTATTTACTCTCGTCTTCATGCATTTTTGTTGTTTCTACTATGCTAGTGGTCAGTCAGCATTTTCTTTTCATATTTTCATGTGTACCTGTATTTTTATTTCATTAGGACATGAACCAAGCAACTCCAACTCAGGAGTTAATTGCCAAAGATCTTCATGGATATGAGTGGAAATTTAAGCATATCTTTAGAGGTATCCTTTCTGCACCAAAAGCTTGGTTTGTGATGGAATGTGAATGTGGTTTTATATTTGACTGTTGAAATAGACTAATTGAAAGCACTACTATTATTAGCCATGTTGAATGCTAGGAACTATCCTTTTTTGTGTATGATTGATGGGCTTACATTTCACTTCAATTTTGAATGTTAGGTCAACCCCGGAGGCATTTACTTACCACAGGATGGAGTACATTCGTGACTTCAAAAAGATTGGTTGCTGGTGACGCCTTTGTGTTTTTGAGGTATTTGCTTATGATTCGTTTATCACAATTAACAGGAATGCCTTCATGGTAGAATGGGTTTTTGTTAACACGAACCTGTTTGTAGGGGTGACAACGGGGAATTACGAGTTGGGGTTCGGCGTCTAGCTCGTCAACCGAGTCAGATGCCCTCGTCAGTGATATCAAGCCAGAGCATGCATCTTGGAGTGCTTGCAACTGCTTCACATGCTCTTATGACCAAAACACTGTTTGTTGTGTATTCCAAGCCAAGGTTTGGGCAACGGTTTCATTTTATCTGTGATACAAGATTCTTCAATTAATTGGAAATCCTTTTATTTTATAGCTTTTTCCTGTTTTCTCTCAGGACTAGCCAGTTCATTATTAGCTTAAGCAAATATCTGGAGGCCATTAACAATAAATTCTCACTTGGGACGCGCTTCAGGATGCGATTTGAGGGTGACGAATCTCCTGAAAGAAGGTGTCTCCATGTCTGTCACCGGTTATGGTCACTAATGTTCTTAATACTCAACTTGATTGTAAATTTCTACATATTTTAATTGCTCAGGCTCACAGGCACAATAGTTGAGGTTGGGGATTTATCTCCTCAGTGGACTGAATCTAAATGGCGATCGTTGAAGGTTAAGATGCTAACAAGTTACAGATCAAATGCTGTTTTATTTCTTCCCGTTCATCTACTTGATCTTTTGTTGTATTTCTTTCAGGTTCAATGGGATGAGCATGCTGCAGTTCAAAGGCCAGACAGGGTTTCTCCTTGGGATATAGAACCTTTTGTAGCTTCGGCTCCATCAAATCTTGCTCAACCAGTGGTAAAGAGCAAAAGGCCTCGGCCTGTAGAAATTTCTTCATCTGGTATGAGAAATAACCGCACCGGATTATTTATTTATTAAAATTCTTTTTCAAATTGTTGGTGGTTCTGAATGTCTTCACGTGTTTGCATAAATTGGACTGTAGAAGTTACCACCAATTCTGCTGCTTCAGCTTTTTGGTATCACAGTTCGCCCCAGACCGCGGAGTTAAACCGAGGTGGTGTTCTGGAAGTCCAAACCTCTGGTAGTCAGGTTGTCTGGCCTCTGAGGCAGAAAGAAAGCAATAGCAGCAGTTACTCTAGCGCAAGGGTCTGCTCAGAGGGCATCTGGCCTTCTTCCCCGCACGTGGATGTTTCTTTAAGCCTTTTTCCGGACTCAAAGGAAAGCTGCAAGAATGTAATTACGGGGTCTGTGCTCTCTAGCTTTGCCTCCCCAATTTCGTCAAAGCC